ATTTTCTACATTGGACTTCATATTTTTGTTCAGTCCTCTTTTTTTTTTTTTTAATTTTTCTTTATAACTTTTATGATAGCCCAAAATCCATTCTCTTCAAGGTAATTGTGCTAGTGATTGGAGTGAGGATAAAAGAGATGAAAATTGAGCCTTGATGGTTCTCAGTTTGCCATATTAAGTTGTGAATTATGGGTCACAAGTGGGGGCTCAAAAGTTCTTGCAGTTGCCAGGGAGCCCCCTCCTAATGAAAAAGACTTCAAGAAATTAGCCTGTAGGGAAATGAAAAAAGTGCTCTGGGAAGTTCTGCAGTGCCTAGAAAATTTTTCATTATTTATGTCACTTTTTTGAAGGGTGCTCTAGAATGATATTAAGGATAAAGACATCCATAAAATTAGATAAGTAAGGTGTTGGGGTGGGTTTGTTTGTTTACTTTCTACATATATAACATAGTAACATAGATAAAGGAATACTTATGAGAAATCCAGAAAAGCCCAAAGAAAACTAACCTTCTGGACAGAGGTCCAAATTAAATTCTTAAAATTATTTTTGTAGCTGGAGAAAACATTGATTACGACAGGTAAGATTTTGTGGGGTCCTTTCTACTCCTGAAAAAGGAGGTAGGCTATGTCTTTTTAATACCCAATGAAAGCAGTAAGTTGAGTCTGTACGTCAATTTTCTCATGCCCTAGATCTTGTCATTGATACCAGTATTAAGCTTCTCATCTGGTGATATTCACGCTCTAAGGTGTCAAGTTTCTATATGATTTTGCTGTTAAACGATATGGGGATAAGGAAAAGTCTGACATAAGTAACCAGATTCCTGTTTTTACTGATAATCTTTGATCACAGGATGAATTGTGCTGTGTATTCTCTAACTTTCAAACAAAGAATGAGGAACCTTCTTTTAAACAGAAAAAGGAATTACGTTTTAATTACAGCATTGTAACTGGCACTGTCCTGATGAGTAAGGCCTCAAGGCATTTCTCTATGAAACCAAAGTTAAAAATAGTCTCTCACCTCCTTTCCAGCATTCCTTTAGGTTAGCTTCATAGATGTGTGACAATATGAAGACTGGGTTTTCTTTGACCTTTATATAATAAAGACAAGCATGGATTTACCTGGGGGAAACTAAGAACTGTTTCCTCCTCATCCCCCTGCCTCTAAGTCACTGGCAAGTTGTCATCCTAGCTCCTGTTTGACACTGTGGTTTACTCTAGTTCTATCAGCATTGTGTATGAACTCCTCCCAGTGTGGAGTATGCCCCCATAAATGTTGTGGCTTACAACATGCCCATGAAAAAAGGAGAGCACTGCCAGCTCCTTCAGCCGCCTTTTCATATGTCTCAGCAAGTTAATGCTGTCAGTTTGTTTTTTTTCTCATTGTGGAGCATGCTCTTTAAAGAGCAGGATAACATAATGCAATTCTGGAAGCAAAAATATCTTCTGGTTTCTGGATACTAATTTATTGTTCTTCTAGAAATCAGAGAAGTATTTAGATTATTGCCATTCCATATCGTATGTGCCCTGTCTTAGCACTGAGAAGACTTTTACTTCTTCCTGATCTCTCTTGAGAAAGTGTCTTTCTTCATCTATTAGTATTCCTAATGAGGTGGCTTCAAAAATAACATATTTTTGGTCTTTGAAGGCTTGGAGCATGCGCTAATAGACAAATGGTTCCTGTTTCAGGGAAAAAAACAAACAAACAACAACAAAAAAATGCAGTGCCTATATATACCTTTCTTGCTCATCTTGCTTGCCCAAAGATAGACATTCTGGACTTTCTCCTACTTTTCTGGGATTTACATCCTTTCTAAAAAGGATGAGGCTCACCCAAGGTGGTCTTCAGAGTCAGGAATCTTCACATTCTTTTCCCACAGTTACTGGAGGGAAACTGGACAGATAGGTATGGACTTGGAAATGTTCATGCACATTTGTTTCCCACAGAAAGGGAAACTTCAGTGCAACTGTCTCTGATTTCTTGCAGCTTTCACTTCTATTCAACTGTGGTCTGAGGCAGGGAGCTTACTTTTGTTCCCCTGATGTTTTCCAGCCATGGTTGTCTGTACCAACCACCATCAGAACTGGTGACATATGTTTCATGGCAATTTGTTCCCATTGAAGATACATTGCTGTTTCTGCTTTGTAAAGAGGTAGTCCCTTTTCCCCTGCTTTTGCAGACTGCTGGTACAGACTGGACAGTAGCCGAAGGGAAAACCCTGCTGTCTATATTCAATACATGGATAAGACCCTGCCTTTTACTCTCATGGTTATTGTAGAAAGTTGAGGGAGGCTGTCACCAACTGAACTCATCTGTTACCCAGTAGTCTTCTATATCCTGACAAGTAGGAGGGATTCGCTGTGCATTAACAGTAACCAGTTCCAAACAATCAAGTTACATTTCTGGGTTTGTTTTCAGCCTTATCCAGTTGTGTTCTTTTCTTCTGGAACTTCGGTTGTATTGTTCTGCCCGTTGTCTCTTGCCCATCTGACAGCTTTGTGGAGCTGAAAGATAGAACTATTCAGATTGGAAGAAGCCATAATTTAATTCCTGCATTTCTAGAGAAAAAGAAAAATAGCTCATTCTGGCAGTGAGGTGCAGGGAGTTGGCAGAGCATGAACACATTCAGTCAGTTCCCCAACTCAGCTGGAGGGCAACTCTATTAATCCAAACTTTCTGTGATGCATGAACACTCTCCTTGCTCTGCAGTAATCCTTCATCTTGCATTCCTATCTCTTTACCCTATCTGACTTTCTCTACCCAACTTCTGGATCTCCTATTATTTCTGTGTTGCTCAGTTTTTGAAGTCATGTTTCTTTATTTGTGGCCTTTCTCTCCACGCTTGTTCCCAGTGTCCCGTCTGTCGCAACAGGACTCTGTGCACAGTCCACTGTCCTCTCTGCTGAACAGCCTGGTATCTTCTGGAGAGTGAAAGCAAGTTTCTTTTCCTGAGCTTTGTGTGCTGATGGACTGATGCCACAGCACAGAACTAAGGTGCAATCCCTTCTGTCTCTGTTTGTTCTCTCAAATTTAGTATATAATTATATATATTTATTTCTCTACTTTCTAATTGAAAGCACTTTCCTAGTGAAGTGCATGAGAAATTCTTGTTCAGTGCTTGCTTTCTTCATGCAGGGAGTAGAGAATCTTTTTCTCACTTTGCTTCTCTCCACAGTACCTCAAGTTGTACTATAGGGTTTGACTTACAGATCAAGTCTCCTGTTTTCTTTCTGAGACTATGGTCAATGACTCAATGTATTATATGTCTCTGCTTGCTTTTGCATATGTAAATGACCTCAGGACTTAAAATTGTTGATTTCTTTCGAACTAAAAAGGAAATATGTTAACTTCTGTTAAACTATAATGAAAACGTTTCCTTTGTTCTTATTTCATGTTCCTTTTATTCCTAGCTCAATGCTCTTCCTCCTCAGCTTTTACTCTTATCAGGATGCCTATGACAACGAGCATACAGTCTTCAGTGCCCTGCCATCTCACTGCTTTTTCTCATGCATATAACTGTTCCTTCTCTAGAAACCCCTATTATACAACACAGCTTGGAAAGAAGGAATCTTTCTCATACAGCCCACAAATTCATGTCATCCCCTTCTTATCACTCTTGCTATTAAGCATTTGCAAGTATTATGAAAGCGTGTTTTTTTTTTTTAATGGGGGAGAGATGGCAAGGGGAGTTTTATGTTTTATTTTGTCATTGTCAAGTTCCAGTTTTGACATTCAAGTATCAGTTTGCCACTGTTTCAGATACTCTAGATGCAAACACAAAGCTAGGCCATTTAAAAGTTTGTCTTTGTAACTGAGCAGGCAATGCAAATAGCTTTTTGGGTCCTGAGTGTGTATATATGAGGAAAAGCAAGATGATAGGCAGACAATACTATCATGGCTGTCCATCTGTATCTGTCTTTGCAGAATTGAGTAATATCTTATGCAGATATTGTGATACTGGGACAAAGCTACTGGATAATATAATTTGAATTGTACTGGGGAGTGTAGAAATGGCTGGTGAGCTAGCCAAAATTCATATTTTGCACCATGTAAATATCAGCTCTGTTAAACCAAGTATTTGGATAATGTTAAGCCCTATTCCTTAGGAAATGAAGACACTAAATTTCAAAGCAAATTGGTGAAGATTCCAGAAATGCTTTTGTTACATTAACAGGTAATGTCAGCAGGGCTCCCTCCCCATTCAGCAGTAGGCCCACACTTTCCCTGGTCTTCCTTTTGCTAATTGTATGTACTTTGATATCCCAGATTCTTCAGGTGGACTTTTGCTTTTTCTAATCCCATATCTGCATGCTTGGACACATTTTTATACTTTTCATGTATATCTTTTTTGTATTTGTTCATCCATGCAGGCCTCCTGGCATTTTTGATAGACTTCCTTTTCATCAGGATGGCTTGTTGTTGAGGTTGGAGGAGGTGAACCTAGAATATCAATAAACTCTCTTAAACCACTCTTCCCTCTAAGGCCTTATCCCATGGGACTCTTTCAGGCAGATCTCTGAGTTGTCAATCTCAGGGCTGGCTCTGGTTTTAGCCATTGCCAGGATAATGCAGCCTGCCTTGAAGAACTGATTTAGGACTCTTTCATATTGTTCCACCTCTCTGCCCTGAAATGAAGGTTATATTCAAGTGTGAGACTGTAACCTCTATACTCATCTGATGCTTCTAGGGTCACACAAGGACATGGGATTACACGGAGACACTGTCTAGAACACATCCATGCCCCTGTGAATTAACTGTTTGTATGGCAGATCCATATGTGTAAGGTGAGAGTAAGGAGAAGAAAGGCAAAGAGGAAATGAGCGGTAGAGTTGCAGTATAAATAACCTCTTACACAGCTATTGGCTATCCCAGTATCAAATGAAATACAGCTGGTACCTTAGAGGTGGGAGCTTAGCTCATTTTTTCTTGTTTTCTTGGCTTGACAACTTATGTTCATTTAGAAATGCCACCTCTTTCTTTTTTGGAATCACCCTGATATAACTTTTTGTCATAAGGCTGTCTGTGAACCTTGCTTACAAATTAGAATCAAATCTGTTTTATTTTAATTTTTTTTCCAACTATCTTCTAAACCAGAAGTAATGAAAGTAATCTTATGTGGTCTGTTTTCCTGGCACTTTAACAGAAGGCTAGAAATAGCAGAAATCTGAGAAGAATCTTTTTCATAAGTACTTTCTATGTAAGTATCTCCATACATGAGCTTTTTGTGTCAGAAAATAGTAAGGAAATGTACTAGGACTGCTGCTAACTTCAGTTCTTCATTTTCTAGTAACTATTCTCTATGACAGGATTCAAATTTATAGATCTGAAAGTGGAGGCTAGTTCAAAGATTGCTAACTCTGTTCCAAACAATACTATTCTAGAGGTTTCAGAGAAAACTGTTTATTTTGTACTAATTGTAGAGTCAAAAGATCTTTAAAAACTGAATGATATTCCTATTCTTGTCCAAATATTTGGGTGCCTACCTGAATTTAACATCTGTTTCTTTAAAGTTCATCATTCATCGCAGAGCTGGGATGTAATGTCTCTTTTTACTGGAAATCTCAACAATATTATCAACAACAGAAGGTTATGATTAAGTAAAATCAATTCAGCATTAAATCTGGATTTCTTGGCTTTAATGATCAGTGGTTTAAGACGCACAGAAATTCTGTCTGATTCAGAAAGAAATTTTTCATTGATCTGAATTAAATGACCCATGGAATTAATTTTCAGAGAAAAGAATGGGGTATTATTAGCAGGAGACCTTCCAGTGTTTTGAAAAAGTGAGTGAAAACGTTATTTCAACTTGATACTGTACATGCAGCTGGTTTGCAACTACTTTTTGTAATACAGTCAAAGCCATAGAGTACTGATGAAATGAACTGTAACTGATTTTCTGGGATAGGTAATGAAAAAACAGCCCCTGTGGAATAGGAACTGTTCAGATGCTCATTGGAAAGCTCTGTTAGTCATGATTAATAACAGAGGCTGACTTTGCTGAATTCAGACCTCTTCCAAGACAGCACCAATTTCCAGTTGCTCTGAAATATCTTGCCCTAGCTTGGTCAAAACTAGGCTTCCCATGAGTGAAGACTGCTGGGAGTGAGTAGAGCCAAAGTTTTCTCCTTTGGCCTGCTGTCCTTTAACAACCTTTGAGAGCGGACTCTGTCTAACTCAATTATTTGTGACCTGGGACTGATTTAATTCAGTTCCACAATGGCAGAGAACCAAGTATTGAAGACCAACAAACCATTATTCCTACTGAAAAAATACCCTTGTGTGGTATTATTATTTGAGGAGTGCTAGGGCCTGATTTTTGTGCTGTATAGCAAAGAGTCTGGCACGAATTTGGTCTGGATTCATTCGATCAATGATGTTGGCAAACTACAGAAGTTGTTGCCAATGGAGTCTCATGAAGTGAAATGTAAAAGGCAATTAATTTCATATATGGGATTTCAAATCTGATTTACTCACTGTTAAGGTTCCATGTGAGTTCTTTCAGGGTAAAGAGGATTTATTCATGAGACTGGTGTATGTGTAATGCATTGATTGTGGGAAAACACTAGCAGCTGTAAAAGTTGAATGGATTTTAGGCACCATATGATCTAGTTGTGGGAGAAATTTTCTACCAAATGTAAATGGAATTGCATTAGGAAAAAAAGCAATTCTGAACATGTTAACGGTAATAAGCCTGCCATTGATTATTACAGCATGTTTCATTTTAAATAGGGATTGACATGGGAGAAGTGAAATAAAGCAGTAGGAACACTTCTATTCTGTCAAATCCAAACAAAATTGTGGATGATCAAAAAAAAAAAAAAAATGCTTTTGCATCATTAAAGTCAAAATTACAATTATATCCATGCAGATTTAACATCTCCTTATCAAATGAAAAGAGTGGAACATTTTCTAGCTTTTTAAGTTTTTGTGCTGCACCTGTTTTTTGTGTAGTTTCATGATAGATTTTGAATTACTCTTGATGCTGTTGAAAACTGATGCAGTCTTAAATAAAAAGCTGTTAGTCCTGGAAGATCCTTAACCTAAGGAGAAAGCGAACAGAGAGATATGGCCTACCTTCCAGTGTGCCTATGGGCACACTGTAATACACAAGGCTTCCATTTCTACAGTTTAATTATCTTATCACAATCCTAGCCCTGTCCATTCAGAAAAAGCATTTTAAATATGTATTCAATTGGTACTGACTTCATATATGCAACTGGGTGTTTTGCCAAGTAGAAGCAGATTGCTTGAAGCAGAGCTGAAGGATTTGTTCCTTCATTCATTGAAATCGAAAGGTCTCCTTCTGACTTCACTAGTGCAGGAACTAGTTCTAAAACATATATTGACAAGGGTATGAGTTCATTTATGGCCTTCATTTAAAAAAAAAAAAGGAAAAGGGGAAAAAAAATAAAGTCTTGTTTCTGTGTTTTGTTTCATTTTTTTGGTTTGTTTTTTTTTTTTTTTTTTTTTTTTTTTTTTTGCTACTTCTGCAAAGTGTTTTTCCAAGCAGATGTTGGACTTTTTATACATGAGCTTAAAACAGTGGTTAACCATCAACATATGAACATTGAAATATGAGTATTAAGGGCTGATGAAATTGAATTTCACCATTAGATGCTTTGCACTTTCTTTTAGTGCAACTTTTTGAGAACATTCTGAACTATCAAATAGCTTGTGGGTGGTCTTATTAACCCAAAGCATGGCTGTGATATGGTAGCTGAAAAAAAATTTAGTGGAGCTTGTTGCACATCAATAAAAAGTAAATCAAATATTAGTAACATCTTCTTAAGAGACAATAGATTTAATTTCTGAAATATTTTCACCTTTATAACTAAATAATAACAAACTCTAGAAATCTCAAATTCTTCAGCAACCCAATTCCACTTAATTGGGCAGTGTGAGAGTTAGTGATTATGTGGTTTGACCCTCATATGGTACATCAATCATGGCAATGTTCTTTCCCTTTGCATCCAAGTAAAACCACTACTTCCCACGCAACATGTCATTACCATCACAATAGGATCTGCTTGGTAATAGCATTTGGAAAGGATCCTTCACTTTAAAGCAGTGTTTGAAATCAAAGCTTCCTTCCTGTTGCAACTTAGCTTTAAAACAGACTTCTAGTGATCCTGGCAAATATAATTCTCTTTTTCTTTACCCTTCTCAGTTCTGATTCCATTCATTGCCTTTTAGTTGTTTTTTTTTTAATGGAAAACCAGAAAAGAGGTTTTCCAGCTCTTGAAATAATATTGAATTCTAAATTTCGGGGGGGGGGGGGGGGGGGTGAAGAATTTTCCAACTGACGTTTGCCTGTGATTTTGAAACCTCCATAGTATGTCTTTTAATTGGAACCATTCAACAAACTACAACAATCTCCAACCTCTGTTCAAATGATGAACTTGAATAAGAATTAAACCAAGAAATGCTACTTTCACAAAGTAACATTATAAAGATTTGACAGAATTAAGTTGAAAAAAAGACGAAAAACTTAAACACACTAACTCCACCTATTGCGGTAAACAGTAGCAAATGGTATTCACTTAGTCTTTGCTGTTTGCCAACAAATTGGGCAATGATTCCTTTTCTTTCCTTTTAATTTTAAATACTGAGTCATTAATTGCTAAGATTTGTTCTCTCTCATATTCAAAGGCTAATGTTGCAAAAGAAGATAGTTTACTCTTTATGTTTTGATCTAGTATACACTGCTGCTGTTTTTTGGCTATTATCTAACCAAGATTATTAAAAGTGCACCCATCACTGTGTCATGTGGGAGGTCCACATAACATAATGGAAATAGTTATCTTTCTTAATTAAAAAGGATAAATATTTTCTTCCTTTCTCATTTGACAGCTGTTCTCCTAAGAAGGATAAAATCCCCACTGGGCTTTTGGGACAACCTAGCTAAAGAACCATTCATTTATTTGGACGAAGAGGGCATGCCCAAAAACACGTAACTTCTGTCATGTTTTAAAGCTGTGTCAGTCTGATTCCCAGATGGAGTGGACTCTGCAGGTCAGGGCCCTCTTTTGAGAATATCCAGCCTGTCTATATTCACATAAAGCTTCCCCACCATACTTACATGCTATAGCAGAGCAGAGGAAATAGATGGGTTAGGATAGTACAAGACACTGTTAATTTTTATGTCTGTGTGTTAAAACTGCAAGATTGACTTAAAAATGCTATATCAAGGTCCATAACTGAAAAAGATGTCTGCCATGACAAGATGTGCTTGCAGACCAAAAGGGATTGCAGGTTTACATCATGTGGCTTGGCACACAAAAGCTGTATTAAGTTGTGTTTAGTGGTAGCTGATGCTCTTTACTACTTCTCTGCTTCCATAAATATGTACTCATGGACCTGCCTCCATGCCACAGCATACTTTTTTTTTTTTTGGTAATATCTGTCTAGATACATATATCTTCATTTAACAAAACTAAGGACTAAGAAGAAGGCAACAGCACTGTCTTTAGAACTAGTTTTTGTCATTCTTGACAGTTATGCTGATTTCTTTTTTTTAGACATAGGCTGGTGCTTTCTATAACCAAGCAAAACTGAATGGATTTACTGCATCCTCATGTTTATCAAACAATGGTTTGGTGTAATTTCTAATAAAGATGATTGCTATGTGTGTAACCATAGTTATCCAAAATGGATTTGACCTTTTGACATTACTTCTGTAATGAAGAAATGAAAAGGGAGCTTTTTCAGTAATTCACTTTTAGTTATGAGTGTCTTTTCTATACCAGAAAAGATTTTTTTGACTACATGCATGAAACATAAGAATAGGAGAGACCTTCTCAAGGTCTCCCTGAGACCATGATATGCTGTGGGCTGGTGGGCCCCTGTGGTCCCTCCTGACCCTGTAGGTCTACTAGTAGGAGTTCTCTGCCACCATCTCCTGGAGAGGCAGAGTGAGCTGACCAGGTCTAAATAAATATCATTTACACGCATGGTTTTTTTTAGGGTGCTTCTACTGAGTCAGTTAACCTTTAATTGTCGTAAATGTAATTATGCTCTCTTAGGAAAATGTGTGAGCAACCCATCTGTCCCTAATGGACGAGGGTCAGTCAAGCTGTTCATTACAGCTTTGGACAGAGGATCCTTTGGCAAAGAAAGATAGTTGAGAGATCTTTCCGGAAGAGAAAGGTTGTGTTTAGGAAATGTGTTGTTGCCGGATCAGTGTACAGAAGCTGTATG